TAAATATAAAATCCGCTATTTATTAAATAAAATAACGTTTATATTAGAGATGTGCCGCGTTCACGTCAGCTGGACATGTGAAAAGTGGACATGTCCTTTTCACTTTTCAAGATTGAAAAGTTGTATGCGCATTTATAATTCCCGCAAAAAATTTTTGAGGTTGGTACATGTACAATTAAAGATATTTAGCCATTTTCTAGAAATTTTGTTGGCAATTGTTTAACTGAAACTGACGTTTTAAAAATATAACCTCATTTATAAGTCCATATTTTATTATTTTTGGCAAAATTAACGATTAGCAAATAGTATCAGTTGATTCTTAATTTAATATTTAATACACAAATAGTTTATAAATGAAGTATGGCGCCAAAATCAACAATTTTGTTATATTTTTCTGAATTGAGCAAAAATCATTATAAATAACTTCTGCTCAAAAACAATTTTTAAGAATTCCAGTGGGATGCAAAAACATTTAAATAAGTGTATTGGCTGCCCGGATTAGAAACCAGTTTATAAAAAAGTCTAAAGGTAGGTAATAAGTAAAATATATCTACACATATTCATTAGAATAAAAGTAATATTTTGCTTTGTGTACTTGTGAAAACATAACGTCACTCAGATGGCTTATTAGATTCAAGGTCAAAACTACTTTTCTCGACATGTCCGGACATTTCATTAACATGTCCAACGGACATGTCCGTAACACTTTTCCGAAAAGTGCCCATCTCTAGTTTATATTAATACTAATCTTAATTACTAGTAAAGGCAGTATTAGGGGTGTGAGATTATTTCCGTAAGACAATTTAACGAGTTCTTGAGATTTTCTTCGCTTTATCCGCGCAAGGTGGCGGCGGAGGCGGTTTGTTTGTTGCCAACCTGCTGTATAATCTGAAATAAAATAAAATAAACACTTCCGAACCAGTACGACCAAAAAAAATAAAAACTTATTTGTTATTACATTATCCACTTACATGCGGTATGTCTCGCTTCTCAAATAGTCCATCAGATGGCTGACGCCCAACTGCAATTGGTCAGCGATGGGCGCCACCCATTCGTTTCCTTCGAATTTGAAGACCGACTTGTTGGAAGCCATGTCTAGATTACCGATTTCAGGCGGTAGAATGGTGAGGCGATTGCCTTGGACGTGGAGCTCCCGTAAACGGGTTAACTCACCGATTTCTTTCGGTAACTCGATGAGGTCGTTTTCACGCAGTACCAGCTGAAAAATAATTAGGTTTTCATAAGGTTTGCAGGTGAGCAACGGGAATCGATAAAAATCAAGCTGTAATAAAATCATACTCACTATTTGTAAATTCTTCAAATTTTTTATATCGGGAGGTAAATATTCAAAATCATTGTCTCCTAAGTATAAAGCACGTAAAGTTTCTGTAAAAAAATATACGTAGAGAAATTTAATAGATCATTTGAGTCATATTTTGAAAAACCGTTGCTGCAAAACCATATTTAATGCTGAAGTAGTATGAATACATTGAATACATACCCATCATGAAGAAGTTTCCGGGCAAACTGTCCTCCTTCAGGTTATTATACGTAAGATCCAACACTTCTAAAACGGGAAAGGCACCAAACCCTCTCGGAAGGGTATAAAGACGGTTTATACATAAATTCAAAATCCGTAACTTTGGCATGGATGATAAAGACATGGGTAGTTCCTCGATAAAGTTATTCGCTAAATTTAGTATTTCTAGGTTTGTTAGATTGGCCAATCCTGGGGGTACGGCTAAAATAAAGACATAAAAGTAATGAAATTATTTGTCGAATTGGCACATGTTTACTCACATTTAATTTTGTTGTGGCTCAAAGTGAGTCTTGTGATGTATGTCATATTTACTAAAACAAAAAAAAATACCAATTAGTGTATTTATAAGCTCTAAGGTTAATAGACATTTTTATTTTAACTCTGTTTTCAATCAAGGGAGAATTTTGTATTTTGAAAACGCAGTTATGCAACCCGTAATACACGTGCACTTCCTGCGCGCCACGCCTACCTCGAGTTATGTACATACAAGCTACCAAATTTGGTAAAGACGGCTTGTTATTAAATTATTGTTCAACTCACATAGGCCTGGCATGTCCTCGAAGGTAGAAACGCCCTTGTCAGCCAAATCCAGCTCGGGATTCTGGATTTCCCGAGCTTCTTCCAGTACCTTTTTCGCCTTCGACATTTTCGTGTTCGTCGGGAGACAGGAAACTGGTGCCTGATTCATTGCGCGCGCAAATCCAGCCCGTCAAATTTAAAATTCCGCGAGATAACGTGAGCGGACGACTTTCCACTGACCACTGGTTTGTCTTTTAGCCGTGCAAAAATTCAGTACCTTCCATTGGCCGAGTGCCAGGTGGTTATTTTTGAGATGGGCGTTAGTACTTACTCGAGTAAACGCAGATGTTCCGTTCTTAATAATTAATATTTACATAAAATAAAAAAATCGGTCTTAAAAGTGGTGTAAATGGTATTGAATATCAAATTATCTTTTTCGTTCAGGCCTATATCCAATCTAAGTTACAATAAATTTATATCATTGGGAATTAATTGTATTTTTAGAAACAAAAAATATATATCGAAAAACTAGTTATTAGTAATTCTACTATAAAATTTTAAATGCAACCTGATTTGTATAGACTTTTTTAGTAGTAACGTTACATACGCCAAANGTAGCATAACTAGCGCCCTCTATGAAATATACAAACAATAATTAGACCAGCGTATTTGGCATCCTTAAAAACCCCGGAATACCAAATTTCATAAAAATATTTCGATCCGTTTGGAAATTTTCGTAAAACTTCTATTTAAAAAATTTTATTTTGTCGCTCTGTATCTCGAAAACAAGAGGAGATAAGACATATAGTTCATAAGACAAAAAATAAGAATTTTTTATCTATCACCCCCTGAATTTGCGGGAGGTCTTTCTGAAACACCCTGTATATTTAAATTTATAGAACAATGTCTACTTTTATAGTAATTAATAAATTAAAATTATACAATGTTATTGAGCATGCGCATTAAAGATAATTTCAACTAAACTAAGTAGCCTCGCAACAGGATATCGTTGAAAGAAAATTTAGTTATGGTTAAGAGTACGTCTGTGATAAACCACTTGAAGAAAAAAGCACTGACACGGTATAACATCAAGAAAAACAATAAAAATACTTGGTAGAACTAGAAAATGCCAAGATTAAACAAAAGTAGAGAAAATACGCTAATGACGACATCGAAAAGATCACGCCTACGTTTGATACTATTCGTTTCAGACATTATGCAACCTATTTTATTCGGGAACGTATATATGGTTGCATAAGCGCTTAAAAAGCACATTGGAAACACCCAATTTACCAGAAAACTGTTTAATCATTTTTAATATGCAATACAACTTACCTTTTTGTCTTAAATCATTAGGCTCACTCCATACCTTAGCCAAAGTTTAGTTCTACAGGGTGTGATGCATTTAAATCAAATGTAATAACTGTAGTAACCTGATTCAAATATTTAAAAATCCCGCGTGATTCGAATAAGAAGAAGAGATCTTAGGCTTATGGTTAGTTGGTTAGAAAAAAAGAGAGGTTAGGTATTATTTTTATGTGTGGAAAGAAGCGTTGTGCAGATTTTATGTAAGTAAAGGCAGTATTAGGGGTGTGAGATTATTTCCGT